TTAGTAATGTTCATATTGTCGTTCAAATAACAGCTCACTAAAAAGGCACCAAAATTATATTTGAGATAATTCAAGGGCTTTCTAACCTAATCAATCTATTACATAAATTTCATCAAAGATCGGCTAGGTGAAGCTTCGTAAATTTTGTACTTACTATAATTTTTTTATTTCTGCTAAAAATATCAACGAAAATCACGTGCATGATAATGACAATTCTCCAACCCTTTTGAAACCGGAAACCGAATATTGTTAAAAAAAAAAAAAAAAGGTAAAAATCAACCGACACTAATATAAAATTAAAAAAATTTATATTTTTAATCATTAATTTTAATTAAAATAAAAACACTGTTAAATTATTTTTTCTTTTTAATTTGTCTGTTTTATCTTATTTATTAAAATCAATAATTAAAAAAATAAAATTTTTAATTTTATGTTAATACAAATTGATCCTTTTTCATGATAAAATATGTTTTATAAAAAAAATAAAAAAAATATTAACTCTCTTTTTCAAAATTAAATATCAAGATTACTACATCTATATATAATTCTATTATAATTTCTTTTCCTTTAATTAATCCACGTTTCTTTAATTAAAAAAATTACTTTCCAATCATATCATAATTAGTCCATAATATAAATATAAGTTGATAGGATTTCATGCATTTAGATTAGACGAAAGACTTGACTTCTACCTACCATCGTTTTAGAAGTCCTTCCCCACCTAAGAGACTTTACTTCTACCATGTTATCTTATACATTACCAAGGAGGCCAACAGTATATCTTATTACTAAAGGTCCGTTTGGATGCAATCGGCAATTGGATTCCTGGTGAGGGATCGATTGCCGTTCAAATCTGTACCAACCGGCCAGTGGAAATCCAAACGGGTTTTCGGCACCATGAAATATGTGGCAATTGGCCAACAGATTTAAATGGGTACAATTGCCAACTGCATTTGAGCTTTTATTTGTGTTTTTACTTCTAAAATTGTAATGTTGATCTAAAAATGTTCTCATCTCCATTTTTTTTCTTTTTATTATTATATAATAAATTAATAAATAATATTATTTTATGATAAATAAATTTTATTTTATTTTAATTTTTTATTATTACTTTTTAATTATTATTAATAAAACTACTATTTAAAATATTTTTTTTAATTATTTATTAATTTTATAAAATTAAATTATTTAAAATTTTTATTAAATACAATTGTTATTTTAATATTTTTAATAATCATTTTTTATTCTCACTACAATCAATCTCATCGTCATTGTTATTTTTATATTTAAATATATATTTTATCATTAATTTTAATTTTACTATTAAAATAACTAATATTACATTTACCATTATTTTTAATTTCATTGTCCATCTAAATTGGTCTAAAACTCCATTTAAATTCCATCGAACCCGCAGTTTGGTGAGATGAGGGCCAATGTTTGGCCTCAATTATTTCGGTCACCGGTTTGAATCACCTCCAGTGGGGCATTATACCAGCCTTTGCCTTCAGTGGTCAACTGGAGGGGCAACCCTCTAATGGCAGACTGGGGTGTTTTTCAGAGGAAAGCAAAAGCTAGAGCCCAGAGAAACCGGCTCTGTGGACTACAAATAGATGGTCTTCAGTTTCTTTAGTGGCTAAGAAGCTTGAAAGAGGATATGAAAGTTTGGTTTTGAACCGATTTATTAATGGATTTTTGTTACATACAACTATTAATTTAATATTTTTATAATAATTATTTCTCTTTTTACTATAATTTATCCTATCATCATAATTACGTTTGAATTTATATTTTCATAATTAATTTTAATCTCATTATAAAAATTCATTTTATCTTTATAATTATTTTTAACCTCATCAGAATCAATCTCACAATCTATTTAAATGGATATTAATTATAACTTTATATATTTCATTCCATGATATTGTACAAGAACAACATTTTCTATTAAATTTTTTTTTTAATTTTGTTCTTTATGTGGTACAAAAATCCATCGGATTAGTTAAAAATTAGCTACTGAAAGTTTTAAATACTTAATATTTATGCTTTGAAAATTATTTCACACGCCACTAAAAATCAATTAGTTTTGAATACATGGACTTTTATTTTTAATTATATTTTTTAAAAATCTCACATACAATTTTTACATATATTAATCTATAATGTAATAATATGAAAATGATATTGTAGGAAATTTTAATTATAATACAAGGGTAATAATGTACTCAAATGTTAAATGTTATTTAATTAAAATTGACTGAAAGCAAAATAAATTGACCTGTCTGTTGGTCAAGTGGCTTGTAGGAAATTTTAATTATAATACAAGGGTAATAATGTACTCAAATGTTAAATTCTATTTAATTAAAATTGACTGAAAGCAAAATAAATTGACCTGTCTGTTGGTCAAGTGGCTTGTAGGAAATTTTAATTATAATACAAGGGTAATAATGTACTCAAATGTTAAATGCTATTTAATTAAAATTGACTGAAAGCAAAATAAATTGACCTATCTATTGGTCAAGTGGCTCGTTATTCAAAGTTGGTTGTTGAGTCTATGTCGGACACGATAACGATTAGAATTTAAGATTTTAATTTAAAATTTTTTAATTTGAATCTTAAGATAAATATAAAAGTTTTGACTTACGGAAGAAAATTACCCTCCACTGTATAATTAAGACCGAATGAACTTTGAATTTAAAGAACAACTCACTTCGATAATTCGATTTTATATTGGCCAATTGCCACAGTTTTCATCGTAATCTTATAAAATCTTTTGTACACAAAATCGTATTATGATCTTATATACCAAATACATAACATAATATATTATTTATGCATCACATAATCCGGAGATTAAAGGATGTTTAGGTCTTGGGTACTGTTTTTAGCTATGGGGTATTTTTATTGGCCAAAGCTATGGGGGTTCAGCGATCTTCTATTTGGTTATTGTAAATTTCATGTTACTTTCTCTGTATATTTTTCTTTTTTTTTTATAATGTAAATTATTTCCATTTCCCTTTGCGTTTTGTTTTCCATTTTTAAAAGTAATTATATGGATAATTTTCCTCTTTTCTTGTCATTAATGTCCAAAATTTTTTATTGGTACATATTAAAGTTCTTTGGGTCTTTTTTTTTTTTAAATACATAACTTGATGATAGAAAAAGAAATTATAAATATTAAAATTTGAATATCATTAATGTTGGATGTTAATGCCAAGATAGGATGATGGATAAATAGAATAATAATGATCTTATTTTATATTTAATTTGTATAAAAAATATGATTATAAGGATAATTAATCATTTTTGTAGTATAAGAAGATTTAATTCTTTCAAAGTAAAAAGAATATTTTTAATTTATATGATTAAATTTATACGTTCTATTATATCTTTAGAAATTATATCAATGATTTAAATTGTATAAATTTTAATAAAAGATAATTTTGACCAATAAATAAATTATTATATCTTAATCTTTACACACATTAAATACGAGATAATGTAATATTATTTAATCTAATCTTATTCAAAATATTATCTTATCCTATACTATTACAATCTTAAATATGTGATATATGATTTATATTTTCTAATATATTATGTTAATTTAATAATAAAAAAATAAGTTTATTTGTGTGAGCTAACCCACCCACCTTGGATTCGCCCATAAATGATACAAGCCTAGTAGCGGATCTTACTGCTTGATTTTGAGGGGCCAATTAAAATTTTAAAATTATATATATATATTTCATTTGAGTTATACTACTATAAATTTTATTAACATAAATCACATATGTAATACTATATTAAAAAAATATCAAACTTATAAAATCTTAAATTATTTTAATTCAAAATAAAAATATTAAAAAATATAGCAAATAAATAATTTTATTTAAAATTGTGAGCAATTTTCTTTTAAAGAAAAAATCTTCAACAATTGAATATGAATTAAATAGTTCTTTATATGTTGACAACTAAATTATTCATAAAAAACTCATATTCCATCTTATTTCATAGTTCTATTTTGATGATTTTTATAGCTAAAATGTTTGCTCAATTGACTAATTATTTAGATATCAAAAAGAATTAAACTAAATTTGATCAATATGTTAATGAGAAAAATAGTTTTTACTTTTTAATTTCTACCAAAATAAGGCATAATTATAATAAAAAGACAAATTTTGATGTTTCACAATATTTTGTATGTCACACTCATAATATTTCAATTAAAATTTCAAATTTAATTTATCTTACTCAGTATAAGCTAGAATTTAAAAGATAAAATTGAATTTTTTTAAAATTCAAATAAATTATGACTTAATATTTGTAATGAACCAATCGATTTTAAGTGCTTGTCAATTATAATTAGTAATTAAAATAAATAGATAGATATTAATATAATTTTATCTTTTTAATTTTAAAAATCTAAATTAAAAAAAATTCCAATTTAAATTTATTTAATAAAAATATACATATCTATATATGAATAAAAGAAAATTTTTCAAAAATCTTGAGGGGATGAAGGCCCCATGGCCATGCTCACTATCCGCCCATGTAAAAGCCTCTAACAAACATGTACGTTTTTTCTTTTATATATATATATATATATATATATATATATATATATAGATATGAACACAACTCTTTAAATAAACAAATATACATACATCTATCATGAAACTACATATACGAATATAGTTTTTCAATATTTTAAGTACTCGTTATCTTGTCAAATATTGACATATGTTGACATGGTGGACATGGTCACCATTAATGCTGACTACTATGTTAAACATAAAAATATTCTTAATTCCATTTAAAAATTGCAAAAATATTCTTAAAATTTAGAAAAAAAGCACTCAACAACTGACCCTAAAAATCAGTAATGTTCACTTTGTGCAAAAAAAGTCCTCCAATCATTCCTCTATAAAGGGAAGGGGTGAGGCCATCGGAACGCATCCATGATTAAGCACAACACTCAAAACGTATATCTTTATAGCATGGCCTCTACAGATTCAATAATCAAAATTCCGTCTATCAGAAAAGGGTCATCCGATCCGGATATGTCAAACAAAATCCTCCAAGAAACTGATAAAGATAAAGAATGGATCGTTGAGATTCGTGATTTCCTCATGCTTGACCTTGAGAAAGGCTACGACATGCCGCTTTGCATCTTTCAGGTGCCCAAGCCTCTTGTTGATGTCAAGCCAGAAGCCTACACGCCCCAGCTGATAGCATTGGGACCTTATCACCATTTCCACCCTGAGCTCTATGAGATGGAACATTACAAGCTTGCTGCTGTAAAGAGGGCAATTAAGCCAAAATTCCAGCTCTCCGAAGTTGAAAAACTCATTGCAGAGATCGTTAAGCAAGTACCTTCTATCCGCAATTGTTATCATGATTTGACAGCTCATAATCATGACATCATAGCTTGGATAATGGCCATTGACGGCCTCTTCTTGCTTGAATTGCTTACTACTTTTGCCAACAAAGAAGGAGAAATTTCTCGTAATCAGTCTAATGGGAAAAATCAGCCCGAGGCTTACGCCATACTCAGAGATGTAATGAAGCTTGAAAACCAGATCCCAATGATTGTGTTAAAAGAGATCCTGGAAAAAAACTGCTACTATGCTACTTCATTCTCCAAGGAAATCGTATATGAGATGTTGATGAAATTTTGTGACGAGGTCTCTCCAATCAAATTGGAGTGGAGTACTACTCCACCTTCAGACAAAGTCTTAAAGCACCGACACTTGTTGGATCTTCTGTACCATTCTGTCACGTTTAAAAGGAATAATGGAGATAATGGAGATCCACACCCCGGTTGTTTAACCAAAGATCCCACCTTCAACCAATCCAAGGATTCCAATCCCAACAGTGAACCAATTCATTTTACGGCCATCTCGGTCCTATTGAAGAAGTTATCGAGTATGCCAGCCATGAAAAAGGTGTCTGAGTTCCTTACAGCCATCCTCGGGTCCCTTTTCACGCTATCCATGACATATTTTAATGAGAAGAAAGTTCTGATTCCTTCAGCATCGGAACTCTGCCGTGCTGGTTTGAAGTTCTGCCCCACCGATGGTGGCACTGCCAATGTAAGATTCGAAAGCAACACCAAGACATTTTACCTTCCTGTTATCACTATGAAGCGTACCTCAGAAGTGGTAATGAGAAACTTGGTGGCATACGAAACTATGGCCCGGTCGAAGACAAAGTCATTGAATTTCAAACGATACACTGAACTGATGAGCGCGATTGTCGATACAATCGAAGATGTTCAGTTGCTTAAGAATGCCCAAGTCCTTATTGTCGAAAAAAGGAATGCTACCAAAGTCCCTAATGGCCAAAAAGAGGAAGCCAAAGGCCTTGACGGCGATGTTCTAAGTGATGCTGAGATCGTAGAAATCTTTAACGAAATGACAAAGACAATGGAGTCAAAAGATTGGGTCGTCGACGAAGCCATTAGAAATGCTAACAAATGTTACAATAACACAGAGAAGGTGAAGGCATATAGGCTGATGAAGAAGCATATTTACTCTTCCTGGAAGATTCTTACGCTTTTAGCTTCTCTGCTGTTCTTGTTGTTGACGTTCTTGCAAACATTTTGCGATATCTACAGCTGTCCCATTGCATTCCACACGATCAAAAAAACAGGAAATTAGGCTTGATTTTTATTAGGTGTCTTCTTTTTCTTCTTCTTTACTTTACACCACCACACAATTCGAGGTACATTGGCCGGCGTAGGCTAGACCGTTTACATTTCAAAAACTTTGCTATCTACCCATTAAAGTCCATTTAAGTTTAATTAACTTATATTTTACTAAAATATTGAAAAATTATAGTAATATTATAATATTTTAATTAAATAAAATTTAGAATTTAAAACTAAATAAAAATATTTAACACCAAATATTATCATAATCAAGCTCAAGCCCAAATTTGAAAATTCTTGCAAAAAATTCGTACACGTGGGTTATTCGGCACGCAGATAGCTATGAGCATATAATTTTATTGCTACAGTTTTATAAAGATAAAGAAATTCTCAGGTGCATTTTGTTCTTGAGAGTTGTGTTCTATTTATAGACAACATAGAGTAAAAAAATATAAATTATAATTTACAAATAGAGATAAAACTAGAAAAAAAAAATGATAAAAAAATGATAAAACTAGAAAGATAAAGATAAGAGAATGGGAAATCTATTAGAGCTTTTGATATTATAAATACTAGTTTTGTAAATTGATTTTATCTTCAAAATTGGATCAATATCCTTATCACTTCCCTCAAGCGAATGGGTGATGTAGACACCATACCCATGAGCTTGTGTCTAAGAGTAGCAAATCTATGAGAAGATAAAAACTTCATCAAAATGTTAGCTAATTGATTGACAAAGGATATAAATTGGACATCAAGAGATTTGTTGACAATTTTTTTCCATAACAAAGTGATAATCAATTTCAATGGTTTGGTTCTTGTATGAAAAATAGGGTTTGCTATAAGATAGATTGCACTTAGATTATCACACCTCAAAATAAAAGGATTAGGTAGAAATAGATGAAGTGCTTTGAGAAAACTTTGAAGCCAAACTAAATATGCAGTGGCATGTGCAATTCCTCTATATTCAATCTTTGTAATTGATATAGCTATTGTGTTTTTTGTCTTGGAGTTTTGAAAGACTAAGTTCTTCCCCAAATAAACACAACATTTAGTTGTCGAATGTTTGTCATCATGGTGGCTTGCCCAATCAACATCAAAGTAGGCATGTAAATTTAGAGATTTAGATAGTTGCATGTGAAGACCATCACAAATAATGTGTTTAAGGTAGTGTAAAATACATATGATTGCGGCCCAAAGTACTTGAGTAGAATGATGCATGAATTGACATACATTTTTAACAAATAGGTATTTTTTAGCCTTGCGATAATAGTTTATTGAAGAGCTTCAACTCTACTTCTATATAGTTGAATGTTAAGGAAATGGTCACCAACATATTTAGACAATGGAATATCAGTGGCAGCTAGAATGGTACAGGGCTTGGCTTCTTCCATTTTTGTTTTAAAAAGCAGATCTTGTATATAGTTTTGTTGTGACATGACAAGACTAGAGGAAGTGTGTTGAACTTCAATGCCAAGGAAGTAATGTAATCTGCCAAGATCCTTCAATTTAAAAGAAGCATTAAGATCATGAATCAAATAATCATTTGCAAAATCATTGTTGCCAGTTATTATGATATTATCAACATAAATAAGTAAGATGAGTATAATGGTTCTGGTATGCTGAATAAATAATGAGGAATCATATTTGTAATTAACAAAACCAAGTTCAAGTAAATGATTGATTTTCCTCTAAAACCATGCCCTTGGAGCTTGTTTAAAACCATAGATGGCTTTATGGAATTTACAAACAACCTATGGTTGTGTAGGATGAACAAAGCTCAGTGGTTCACTCATGTAAACCTCTTTTTGCAATAAACCATGTATAAATGCATTATTCACGTCTAGTTGGTGCGATGGCCAACATTTTGAAAGAGCATGTGTAATAACAACTCTAATAATGATTAGTTTAATAACCAAACTGAAATTTTCAATAAAATTTACACCTATTTCTTGACTATATCTTTTAGAACAAATCTTTTTTTATATCTTTCAATCGAACCATTGACTATTCTTTTTATTCAATAGACCCATTTACAACTTATAATATTCATGTCTGGAGTAAAGAAAACAAGAGACCAAGTTCCATTCTTAATTAGTGCATTATATTCATTACCATGGCTGGCCTCTAAATAGGATTTTTGTTTGCTTGTGTAAAACAAGTTGGCTCTATTTTCGATAGGGAAAATAAGAAAATAGGATGACAACTCGAAAGATATGTAACATGATTAAGATATACTTTTAATTTTCTAATGTGATCATCAATTCTAGTGACAATAGAAAGCCTTTTAATTGGAGGATTGACTATCAATATATTTTTTCTAGAGTTTAAGGAAGTGTTTGGTATTGAAGAATCTAAAGAAGAGGACTAAGGACATGCAATAATTGTAATAGAAGTGAAAAAAGAGGTGTAGTAAAGGTAAAAGGAATAGATGCACAAAATGAATATTACTACTTAGAGATAGAATTGTAGTGCGTAGAAAAGTCATGACAGATTGATTTTGTTTAATTTTAAAACATGGATAAGTAAGTTCATTGAAGATAACATGACAAGAAACAAAAATATTATATGAGGATAGATGCAAACATATGTACCCTCAATAAAGAAAACTATATCCCAAAAAGACACACTTTAAAGATCTTGGTTACATTTTATTTTATTTGTATGGCCTCGTGTAACAAACAAAAAAAGCACAATAAAAAACATCAAGAAATTTATAATCAATTATTTTATGAAATAACTTTTGATATAAACTTTTATGATGCAATGAACCAAAGGGTAGGCAAATAATAAAAAACACAGTTGTATTGTGAGTATCATCCTAATAAGATAAAGGCTCTGAGGCATTAAATAATAAGGTAAGGCCTGTTTCAACAGTATGTCTATCTTTTCGATCTGCTTTTTCATTTTGTTTAAGAGTTGAAGGATAAGAAACTTTGTGAAGAATGCCATTTGATTGCAAAAATTTTGAAACATTTTGATATTCACCCTAAATTTGTTTACAAAGCTTTGATTTTTCAAAAAAGAAAGTTTCAACTTGCTATTTAAATCTTTGAAAAATTCAAAAAACTTGAAAATTTTGTGGACGTAACTAGGTATACTTACTAAAATTATCAATAAAACTCACAGAAAAATGATGTTATGTTCATACTTGATAAAGGAAAAGGCAATTTATGTTGTTTTTATCAATAAAACTCACAGAAAAATGATGTTATTTTCATAATTGATAAAGGAAAAGGCAATTTATGTTGTTTTCATAATTGACAAGATGAACAAAAAGATATTGACTTAAAAGTTGATGCCATAAATATGAGCATGTTTTTTCACAATTGAACGCTTGAAAGTGAAATGTGAAGAAGGATTTAGGATTGGAAGTGATGCGATAAAGACCTTAACCAGAAACTCTTTTGAGAAGGCCCTAGCCTAAGGATTGATCCTTAAAAACATGAAAAGAAAGGTGAAATTCAAAGAACATATTATTATGAAAGGGTGAAATTCAAAGAACACATTATTATCAAAAGTGAATTAAGAAACACTAAGAAGATTTTTTAATAGAATGAACATGATGAACAATATTTAAGTAAAGAGGTCAAGAATGAAAAGAAAGTTGGATGAGCCAATGTTTGTAATTTGCAAACTTGTTCCATTTCTTACTTTAACATGGACATGCCTTTAATATTTTGAGTGCACTTATAGATTGCTAAAGTTTTAAGTTAAATGACTGTTTGCACTTGAATTAGGAAACCAATCATCATTATGTGAAATAAAAGATATTAAGGCTAACATAACAGATAAGTTGAAGGCTATAGTTCCTTGAAAACCATGATCAAATTGATGATAACAGCTTATGGTTGCAGGTTTAATTTTATTGCAAACCTAATATTGAGGGTGATTGATCATAGAAACAGAGCTATTTGATTGGTAAAAAATCTAGTATGATAGGTTCTACCTGGCCCTTATCTTTTGCCTCGAAAAGAAATAGAATAAGCTCCAAGTTGCGATCAAAAGATCTTTAAGATCAATTGTTGGAGGAAATGTTTCTTGTAGTAGCATTAGCAGCAAGCTTAATGGTTTTTGACATAATGTGTTGTTCGAGACAATGCTTATAACTCATGAAAAGGCTATGCAGAGCATTAATGGTAATAAGGTCAGGATGTATGGATACTAAGACAACTAAGTGTAGATACCTAATTTGTCTGAAAAAAAATACTCAGTCATTTGTGAAACTCTTAAAATTCAACCCGATTCAAATCCAACATAGTTTTAATTATGACAAGTTTCAAAAATTAAAATGAGACTAATTTGACCAAAATGCCCCAAGGTCAAATCTAGTTAAACTTAGTCAAATTAGTTAAAATTAGTCAAAATAGATGAAACATGGATCAACTCTCAAAATTCACAATCAAATTGAAATCAATATAAATTAAAATTGAAATTTATGATTTTTAAAGTACTAAAAAGTTTGACTGCACTTTGGGAAGGGTACAATTATTAAAATACCCTTAGAGGTATTTCATGATTTGGCTTTTGAAGTCAAATTTTCGTGAAAACTTTCAAATCATAATTGAATTTTTTTTAATGATTTTGATGCATTGAAAACCCAAATCACACCTTATGAGGTGTAAAATTACAAAAATAACTTTTAGGGGTATTTTCATAAAATTGGCTTTCCAAGGTTGGAATTTTGTGAAAAATTTTAGATCATGATATAATATTATTGATAATTTTTGGAATATTAAAAACCTTGATTGTACTTCAGGAAGTGTGAAAACACCAAAATAACTTTTATGGGTATTTTTGTAATTTCACAATCCAAAAGTTGATCTTTCGTGAAACTTTTTAGATTATTTTTTTTAATTATTTGATGATTTTTGGTACACCAAATATCATGGTAGCATCTCGGGAGGTATGAAATTACAAAAATACCTTTCTAAGGTTGGATTTTCATGAAAGTTTTTAGATGTTAATTTGATATTATTTAATGATTTTTGTTGCTTTAAAATTAAAGAA